AATAAAACGTGCATATTCAGATAAAACTTTTCATCGCGAATCCCAAATAGGTTACCTGCGTGCTTCTGAATTTAGAACGTGTACTGTGATTAATAATTTTGTTCTCCGCATAATTTAATCCCACCAAAATATAGCATTGGTTTATTATGGGTGAACAAAAATTGTATAATTTTAGTAGATTCTTCCCTGACCTGTTTTCATTGTGTTATTATTGCGTTATGTCATTCACGGGGTAATAAATTGAACAAACGTCGTAGGTAAACTGTATGCAACTGTTAAACGTATATTAAGAGATTAATATGTCACCTAACAGATTACAGAACGCGGGTTTCTGCTCTGTACGCCTAGTTTTACTAAAAACAATAACAATTGAAAGGGAGAGGGAATTTACCCCCCCCTCCATATTCCATATTCCTCCCATAAATTTGGCACTGCAGGTACCTAAATAAGGTAGAATACTCTGCAGTTTGTACACTAAAGTATAAATATTGTAATACGTTCGCGATGACAAATTCCATCGGATCGGGAAAATGATTGGATTTAAGACAAAATGTTAATCGTGAAACGTCACGGACAGAAATATTCGTTCGTCAATAATGCCCACTCGCTGCCGAAATATCGGAGAGCCAAGAGTGAAAATGCGTTAAAAATTTTAATGCATACTGCCAGACGCCGTACGTTACGTTTGTCAATTCGGAAATATTAAACTTTCATACACTGCTTTATTATTATGACAAAATGAATACGAATATAAATTATAATGCTTCGTTTACGTACTTACTCGTATAAAATTAATAACCAAAAATGCTTATGTTATAATAATTATTATATTCGTCGTGTCACGACCAATTTCACCATCTAACGCATTCCAATCTTGATGTTTTGAATTCCAAAAGTAAAAATTCGAATTTTACCAAAATCTGCAGGTATATGGGTATACCTAGTCGAATTTGAATTAGGATCTTTTTTTTTATAAAAGCGGGGAAAGCAGAAATAATAATGTTTATAATAATATAATAGTCACGTAATCTTCCAACCACGGATGTTACAATCAGCAAATCTTACCTTAGGTATACATCATGTTTTTTTTTTTTTTATTGTATTGTAAGCATATCAGTTCTAGAATTTATTGCAGACTTGACATCATCCTTTTCGTTTTATTTCCTTTTATTTTATTTGTATTACTGAAACCTTTATGTATCCGTATAGTATTTTGTATAGCAATTTCTTTGTTATCAAAATAATATAATAGCATTCTAAGTGGATTTTCTCAAATAAAAAAAATATCAGCAGTATTTATTCTCAAGAAATCAAGATGACTTTCGTTTTTATGCCTGTAAATATCTCATGTCAACCGTAGAATAATCAAACGATCACGAGATTAATATAAATGATTGTTATATCACTATAGTTACTCTTCGTTGTAGTTATAGTTTATACCTCTAATGTTTCACAATAAAATTAAATTTTATTTTAGCTTAGATTCTGAGGTTAGCGAATGTATGGTTTTATAAAAAATTGTATTTTTTTTTTTTATGTGAACACTTTTTCTACTAGAAAGCTTACTCCGATAATCAAATATAATAGCACCTTTTTTGAAAGGTAATGTTCTCTGGGTGGTACTTTGGAAAGGTCATTTTTTGAAATTCTCATTTATATTTGAGATAATGAGAAAAACCGGGCTCTTTAGATTAAAAAAGATTGAAAAATTAAAAATAAGGTTGTCATTGACAACCGTTTTAATTTATTTTTTGTTATTATTAAGTACATAATACACTTATCATAATATTCCAGGCGACGCATTTATTCTTTTATTTATTATTTTTCATTTATATATTTATTTACTATTATTAAGTTTTTATTATTTTAAATTTTTTTTAAACGATTATTGTTGTAATGGAAGCACACATTGTTGTAATCATTTTTATTGTCGATAAAGTAACACTATTAACTGAATTCCACTCAGAATCGTATTTTCGTTAACATTGGTTTATCGTTGCTTACAGATATTAAAAATATACATTAAATTCCCATTTGTATCCTACCTTCCAGGAAGCCAAATGCGAAGTATGTCCGCATATATATACATAAAAAGCATAATTTTTAAAAACCTGTTTTTGAAAACAATTTTTTAAAAATGAACTGTGTAAATCCGTACAAAGAAATGTAATGATGGTTATAAAATTATGACCATAAAATATTATAGTACACAAATAAATTTTTATTTTAACTTTAATTCCGTATTTAAAAAATTTACTGCAAACCGAAAAATAATAAACATTTTTTTTATTTCTTTTACTAACTCCTTATTTACACGATTTCCTTTAGAGGGATCGGTAACACTTTTCCAAATTTTATGATATTTTGGAAGTATCAAATTTATTTTATTTACATTTTAATAACCACTTTAATAATAAGACTTTTCAATTAACTTACTGCCCGATGCCCATTTAAGGGAAAAGGGTATTTACAACCGTTTTTACAGGTGAATATAATGTGTTAAACCATAAAGCTAGGCAAAACTGTAGAAATTCCGTTTGATGGATTTCTATTTTGAAAATATATTATGATTCTTTGTTGAAATTTTGTTTTCAATATTCATCTTTATTTTAAATAAAAGACAAAATACATTAGATATACATTTTTCAAAATACAATCAAATTATTTTTTATGATTTCTAATAAAATAAGTAAATTTCTATTTCCAATATATCCGTTAAAGAACCTGAAGAATCAAAAAATCCTTTTTCAAAATTAAAATTTGTCAAAAACGATAATTCTTATTAAATGTCACAATAACATTGCTGTTTCGTGTATTATTCTAAGTGCTTTATTAATAAACAAAAAAAATACCGAGGTACACCGCTTAAAAATTCTGCACCTATAAATAATAATATCATCGGACTAAAAAATTATTCGCGTTTGCATACATTTTCTGGTAGACGTAAATATGCGTTAACTGCTAAGTATAACGAGTTACATACATAATTCGTATCATGATTTCGTTATACGTAATTTAAATATTAAAATATGTAGCGCGTCACATATTTTCACATTTGACGTTTCTGAGACGTTGGGGAATAGATACGCATACATTTTATTGTCCATAACAGCTAAAACATCATATGAAAGAAATAAAAAATAATAATACAAATTGAAGTAAAATAAGACGTTTCCTAGTCCACATTTACGTTTCGCTATAAAATGAATGATACTTTCAGCTATCTTTAAATTAATAAATACATAGGTAACCACTACCTATATATTATCTATAATTTCACTACCCACAGAAATGGAATTATTTCGCATTTCAGTTATTTTTTTTTTACTCTTGAGTAAATATTTATTGTATATTTTACGTGTTCTTAAAGCTTATTATCTTGTACGGATATTTCAGAGTAACAAAAAAAAAATTCTCAAATAAATAATAGATACCTACACAACGTTTTTGTTACTAATTATTATAATATATTTTTGCCAGTAGAGAAAATAACTTAGTTATATTTTCTTTTTTTCTTTCGTTCGTTTGCGTTCAGAATTTCGAAAAATCTTTTAAGGTCAAATCGAAACATTTTTATTTACCAAAAAAGTGTTTTCCGAAAAAAAGAAACAGTGAAACACGTATGACTTAGTAAAACTTATGTATACCACTTTTACACTCAAAATGTAATAAAAAAAAAACTGAATCATATTATTTGCAGGTACTTCCCTGACACTGTACAACGCAAGTATATGCACGTCGCAATAAATGATCGATGTTTTTGTAAAATTATTACTGCTTTCAATCGTCTCGAATCCGCCACACAAATCGCATTATTATATAATCATATAGAAAAATGAAAATGTACTTACAAACAATATCGATGAAATCTAAAATTATTTACACGTATTTCGACGATTATCGCAATTGCGATCCTTTGTGAAAGTAAATATATAAAATATCCTGCAATAGTATAATATCATTATTACAATAATTCGGATATTTACGAAAAATTCACGATAAAACAGGCGAGTATTATAATGAGTTTAGCTATGCTACCGACCACAGTGCAGTAAAAATCTGAATACAATAAAAAAAAAAATATATATTTTCTCTTCAAATAAAATATGCTTGGTAAATATTACATTTAATATTTAATTTAAATTTCAATGTAACATGTTATACATGTTAAATAAAAAACTTTACATATTAAACATTAATTATTGATTTTTATAACTACAAAATAATTTACAATATAAAATCGTTAATATTTAAACGAAATTCGTGAAACATTATGAATAACTCGTTTAGGATTAAAAAAAAAAAAAAAAAACATTGTACTATTGAAAATAAGATACAAAATAAAGGAAATTATTATATTTGATGACGATAACCGTATGAAAGTGTATATAAAACTATTACTATCTATACATAAAAAAAAAAAAGTGGGTCAGCTGAGATCTATCGTGACATTTATTTTATTATTCCATAGACATTTATTAACACAAGAATAGCAACCGTTTTGCGTGTAATATATTGAGGCCAACAGGCAGATGTGCGCGAGACGAGAAACGGGTTTTTCATGGCAACAAAAATATTTATACGGTTATTTAGAATCGTAATCATGAGAAAATTATGTAAAGATTCTAAAAGTCGTAGCTCGATTAAAGTAGATGTATCAACCATTTGGACTACACCGAATAAGGCACCAGCTAGACCATTAAAAGGCAACAGCTGAGTCTATTCGCAGTCGTGACGAATACGAGCTATCACATTTATGAGACGTGATATATTACTGTTTTACTGATCTAAGAGGAGTTTTTGATAATATATATTATGATAACAAACATACATGTTTACATTACTAAGTTAAGATATTATATTCTTTGTAATATCCATGGGTATAATATCATGATATCGATATGATATATGGTTATATTATCCTCATAGTAATAATTACATATTTACACAAATATTGATTAAAAATAATAAAATAAAAGAACTTGTTTGTTGTTTTTCTTTTTATTTACATGTTATTGTACGTTATGATATATAAACACTCTCACGCTTCTTATCTAAAATTATAAAAGATGCAGCAAAAACACTGGAATGCGTTTTTTTACTACTTGTCGGGTCTGTTTTATTATTATGAACTACGAAGCCGGAGCTATACACGATGTTTTCTGTTGGATTCAATATTCATCGTTTTTTATTAGAGTGGCTGTGCACGACGGATGTGATCCTCCGCGTTTTAATATGTGGCGGAAAACTCTGGAGAGCTCCCGTTTTGGCGGACGAACGCCGAAGTTTAACTAACCCGAACTCCAAATATTGCATTGTGTGAAATTGAGTTGGGGTACACGGGTGACAGAAAACGCCGTGTTCACGTCATAATATTATTAATAAAATAAATTTTCCGACGTGTCAAATAATAAAATATGATCATTTATTTTAAATTTAATATATTTCTATATGGAATGCTTGCAGAATTGTTTTCGGTAAAGGCCAATAACGAATTTTCAGTTTTTTGTTTATTTTTGTCGATTACAATTTTTTGCTCGATAATAATACTCGAAAATTTAACATAAGATTTGTTCAAAAAGTGTTCTTACATAATAAACAATTATTTAATTTTTACATTTAATAAATTGTAATAATCGTAAAAATCATAATAATAATTTAAAAGTAATTTAATAAAGGAAACGAGGGTAATAGTCAGGCCTCCACAAAATTAAAAACAATGATAGTATGCATGATGAGTATATATATTTTGTACAAGGGAAGTAAAACGGAGGGGGATGAGGGGGATATATCCCATTCCATAATCTCAATTTACTTAAATAATTGTTATTATTTATATTATATTATCAGTAAAACGGTGGGGGGTGAGGGGTATATATATCCCACTTTATAATCTCATTTTACTTCAATAATTTTTATAATATATATTATATTATCTATGTATTCATAAAAAAAAATTATGTAAATAATATTAATTATTAATAATTAACCCTATCATCCTCCATGACAAAATTAATTGACCGCCACTGATTTGGTACAATAAATATGAGCTTTACCCTATTTAAAAAATAATTTACGTAAAGAATACACTGATGGATAGGTGTGTCATCACGTATATAGCTGATCCAGTGAAAAACACAACATACGAAACGCGAAGGAAAACGCTGTCTACGGCTCCATCGTTATAGCATTTGACCAACAATAATTGAAAAAGCTATTCGAGAATAATAAATTCTAGCGTTCTAATCAGAATATAGTTTAGGCAATAATGCAAGCAACGCGAAACATCTACGATGAGGTGGAAGATGAGTACAGATTTCGTGCCTCCTTAAGTATGAGATCAATTTTCCTTTTTACCTCAAAAAAAAAAAAAAAACAGAATATCATTATCAATTTCATCATAGTATCAAACGTAAATCGATACACGAGATTATTATTAAAAGAAAGTAAACAGCTCTAAAGCTGAATCATTGAATGTAAGTGACTACGTATATCTATAATATATTATAATATATTGGCAATTTGGACGCGACTTTTGAAAATAATATGAAAATGTATACAAATATTAAATTTAATTACACATTCATTCGCATGCAATTAAATTCATGTGGTAATTACAAGTATTTAATTGTGTAATCATGGAATAAACTAAAATATTTAATAAAAAAAAAAAAACATGTTAATCACAAAAATAAGACAACAATAATGCCACTGTTCAGTGTTGTTTATTATTTTATCAATATCACTACTAAGAAAACAATTATTATTCAAATATATACAACTATCAGATTTTAAAATAACAATAATAAATAACGAGAACAAATTTTGCTCAAAATTTGAACCAAATTTATGCATCCGAATAACGATTCTGTGATGAATTCAGTTTGCTACAAGATAAAATATTAAAATTATTATATATTCGTTAACTATTGTTATTCGTTAAAACTAAAAGTAAAGTTATTCGAACTTTATTAAAAATAATTTTGTATGCAAATTGTGTTGATAATAAATGTTTTGATAATTTTATAATACATGTTATACATATTATACGACCATGAATTAAAAATTCTGATCTGTATAATATAAATTAAATAATGAGCTAGTACTTCGAATGGGTGCATCATAAGTGAGAAGTTAGCAAGGAGAAATATATAAGGTTAATTAATTTATAACCAATGACAATTTTTTACGAATAACGATTCTGAACAATTTCGTTTATACGTTTTTTGAAATGCCGTAATATTCACGATTTTCATTAAAATTTAATCTTAAATCATTATAAAAAAAACTACTACATTACACTTTAATTTTTTTTTTGAACCACTAAGTGCAGCTTATAATAAATAAAGGTGTTACCTGCAAGTCTAACAAAAGGCAAATATAAATTTTCTACCAAAATTTTTAAGTTTTTCTGAATAGTTACAACAAAAAAACAAAATGAAAAATAATGAAACCATTATTTACTCAGTTTTTCCCAATTATTATGAAAACTGGTTGAAAAATCAAAAAAAAAATCACCGACTTTCTCAGCAACAAGGTCCAAAATTTAACGAAAAAAATTTGTTGACATTTTTGATTAAAGCGGTATTTCTGGTAGAAAACATAATGTAAATTAAAAAAAACGAAATCGGTAAAGCTACGACATGCCGTAAACATTTGTGTTTTTCCTATAATTCCAGTTTTTTCCATTTATTTTTAAAACCCGTTGAAAAATCTAAAACTGACCTCCCAATACACCAACTAGATTCAAAAATACAACAAAAAAGGGGTCTTGTTATTTTATAATTGAAGCATGATTTCTAGTAGAAAAATTGTCACGAAAAGGCAAATTTCCATTCCTCCACTTTTTATGAAAAAAAAAAATGAAATGCACGTTTTTTTAATGATAATAATGTTATCTAGGAATTTTTTAGTGTTGGTATCATTTCGTAAATTACTAATACATTACCACAATATATTATTACAGCAATGCAATCTTAACTTTTCCATTATTATTGACATTCAATGTACATAATATGATAATATTAATGTAAACTATGGTTGTATACTTGTGTAATCGTGATGTAACGGTGTTTCAGTAATTTATGTTTTAAAATGATAACAATTAATATTTTTAATACATTTGAAAATAACAAATATTAAATTTACAAAACAATAATAATTAATTATGAAATTGTCTAACCGCGTCCGCGTTTCTATGAACATGTCTATAAATATTACATTATAACTTAACAGTTAAATATATCATAATCAAATGACTGTGTAATGATTACTATAAAAATTACAAAACACACATTATTGTATAACGAATAGATCCCTCGCTTTGCTTCGAGTCTATTAGGAAATTTTAAGAGGACGCCACACCCGCATCTACTGTTTTCAGTTCAACTACTGAGCAACAATCAAAAACGATGTTTACGCAGACAAAGTAAAAATAGCTTAATTTTAATTTCAGAGTAAAAGTACCTATTATAAAATGTACAAAGAAGAATATTTTAGAGAGAATCTCGTCAAGTTTTTGTATATCCTAAGTAAACAGCTCGATTTAAAAAGTGCACACATTTTTTTTTTAGTTTTTTAAATAATTGTAACTTTTTAATAATTCATAGTTCAAAAAATACCTTTGTAATTTCTTCCGAAATATGGTTCTCTATAAATTTCATAATAAGTTGTTTTACTCTAAAATAAAAACTAAGCTAGTTTAACTTATTCAGCGTAAGTATTGGTTTTATATGTTGCCCTGTAGTTGGACGAATACTTTAGATGCGGGTACGGTGTCCTCTTAAAGGAATGCTGCTTTTTAAAAAGGACTTTCCTAATATCATCTTAACCTCTCTACATCACTTTATCAGATATTATTTGATTGAGTTTTTGGTATTTAAAATTGAATAAACTTTCATCATTCATATTATTTAAGAAATGAAACCTCTTATCTAATGAAAGGCGTTGGATTTGAACTACAATTTCGAGCGGCATTAAGTGATACTACCCCAAAGAGTGTATAATTAACCTGTACCTCACTCCAATACTATGTATACAATGTATAGTGTTCAGCACAGACCTTCGAGGAACTTCCTGTTTATTACTCAATTAATGCATATCAAGAACTTCCTGTTGGATAGTATTTCGACCTTCTCGAGAACATTCTATTTTAGTCCTTAAAGCAATCCCCATTACTGTCCAATTTAGTTAAAAAATATTATGTATTAAACATTAACATTAACATTAACCTGACCTAGATCATACGAGTAACTTCTAAAAATAATTAGTAAGGACAGAAGTTAAATGTTTAAAACTCCAAAAAGCACATTATTGACTTTTACGCATTGCATATACGAATATGCATTCTACAGATTCATTTTTGGGAAGAGTCTGTAGAGGTTTTCAAAGCTAAAAGCACCTCCATACGAAAAAATTTGCTGAAATTCATAAATTTAATCTACCTGTAAAATTACTCCAATTCCCAATTTAAGGTAATTTGATGTGATGGGAGCAACTAAAAAAAATGTCCGAAAAAGAATAAATGAAATGTGTGTATCAAACAGTATTATAAATGTATCAGATACAATATATAGTGTGATAGCATACATTATTCTCTATTTTCGGAGAAAATGCAACAACCAAATTATTTAAAAAAAATCAATGTACAAGGTTTTTGAAAATAAGTAATCAAATTAATAATCAATTAGAAGTAATCAAAGTTTGTAATATCAATTTATTGTTTAGGTTTTATACTTTAAGTGTTAAAATATGGATCTAGAGATAATATGTATGTAAACAATCTATTAATAATATCCATTTGTGAAATCAATAAATAAATTGCCATCATATTTCAAACTTCAAACGTTCAAACACTTTTACATATTCTATTTTTTAAATTATAATTAGAAAGTTTATGACTCCAAAGATAAAAACTAAACGCAAACAAAAACCAGAAGAAAAAGATTATACATTTTTGACACATCACGTCTAGAAAATATACAATATACATACACCAAACTATAAAATAAATAACCAATGAACATTTCAGGTCAATAACTGCAGGGATCGTATAATTATTATTTTCCAGATTAAAACGGAATAGCTACAAAAATTGATTTTTATGAAAACAGGTGTGACGTGAATATTTCGACAATATTTTTTTAAAAGTGTTTTTCAACTACTCGGAAATTTAAGAACAAAAAATGTCCCCTATAACGCACCTACCTGCTACCTGCAGCACCTGTGTACCAAACATAACAATCGATTGATTGGACAAGAAGAAACTTTTGACACGTGCCTACTCGTTTTACCCGAAAAAAATGATCACATACATAATTCAAAGAAAAAAAAACATACTCGTCCTTGTAATACTATAGGTACTCGTAATACGTTATCTTTGCGTTCCGTGTCATGTATATTTCGAAACCAAAATAAAATAGAAATTCACTAATTTTATAGAGTAAAAAATACATCTTTATCAAATTACAATTGTATTTGTCATTATCCGGATCAAAGTATATTTTATTAATTTATCTGTAAACGATATTTTATCTAATGAATATTCGAAGTCGTTTAATTTCTCTATTTATTAAGTTCAAGTTCAACGAATCTGTTAAGATAATGACGACTCTTATGTGGTGAACGCTCAATAGATATGCCCTATAGAAAAAGGAACTTAATTACATATAATAGTAAATCAAAATATAAATAAACGTTAATAATAATAGTATAGATATATAATACTATTAGGACTATTAAGGACTTAGGATTATTCTAAATCAGTGGATAGATTTGGATTAAGATAAAACTCAAATGAACCATTTCTTATTTTGTCTAGGTATATAAATAATTTGTGTCATTACATTCGCTAAATAAAAAAAAAACCCAAGTAATTTAAACAGTGGGGTGGTTGGGAAGAAGTGTATTTGCTCTTTTCTTACTTTTAATCGTGTCTTAAAAGGGTAGTTACAGTTGATCTCTGGTTTTTTAGTCTGGGAAAAAAAATTTTCAAAATAGAATAACGTTTATATAATATTAATATTATACCTTTTATTTGTTCGCTATCGCAAACAATATTTGCTGTAATAGGTGAGGTTAGGTTATTTTCCGAACGATTTTCACGACTTTTAACTTTAAATTTTGTTTTAATTTTTAAACCAAAATATATAATTTAATGACCATGAAAATTATATACTTCCAGGATATTTCTTTGCAAGTATGAAAGTCTGAAATAGACAGATACTTGTATTTAAATATTATATTCGAACAAAGCGACATTTTAAATTTTTGATTAATAATTGCTTTCCTCATCAGTCGAAAAATCCGTAAAACTATCTCCACTCTACTGTATGTTAAAATAATGACACCACTGAATTCGACTAGGACTTAGTAATATTATTTAGAATATTCATGAACAACAGAAACAAAATGGGGGTATGCAATTTGTTAAATAATTTCTCGAATTAAAAGTTGTAAGTCACTTTACTACAGTTCCTGTATACATAGGTACTTGATAAGGAGCTTATATGACAGCCTTGAGATCTTAGATTTATAAACTTTCAATTTTCGGATTAAAGCTCAGTGTAGCTATATACTTAAAAAATACATAATAACAAGACGAATAAATTAATCAATAATGAATGAATCACATGAATGATTTTTCAATTTTAAACAATTTATAGAATTGTTTTTTTATCCGTTAACTTCCGTGATAGTATTTTTATCTCACCGTGGCTATTGTTAAGATTATTATTATTGTATATTGGCATTTCGTCGTTAAATTTCCGTATCGGCCTATAATATTTCGATTGCACGTAACATTTTACATATTTTTTTTTTCTATTTGATACTTTAGTTTTAATAATTTTTTGTAAAATAAACTACTTTGTAACGAAAAAAAAACAAATTAACGCATATATAGGTAATACTATCGGAAATTCAATTTTTGTTGTATAATTTTTAACTTGTATGTCTATGTGCATCTTTTAAAATAATGTTTCATAACCTAAGAGGAGGTTGAGATTTCTTTAAAAAAAAAAAACAAATTTCAAAGAACTTGTAAAATTAAAAAAAGAAAACATTATTTTCAACCATAATAAGTCAGGATAGATAATAATAATACAAATATAAAGTATTATGTTGTGTAATTAATATTTTATATTTATTCATCTGTAGAAATCATTTTACAGAATACATGTAGTATATAACAGAGAAACAAAAAAATAGCATTGATTATGTTCTGACCAAAAATCAGAGAAGGGGATTGAGATTGTTGAAAAACGAAAAAGGGGACATGGAATAAATAAGGTTAAAAGACAACGAACGACACCAAAATCAACTATAGTCTCCCCTCAAAAACAAAAAAAACAAATGTGAATATTATTATAGAAAACATTTTAACCAAAATATATGACAGTAATGATACCGTGGACATTTTTTCGTTCTTATAAAATACCGTGTCGCAAAAATACCTATAAATATAAAAATTGAAAACACCCCGTTCAAACGTCTCTGGCGACAATAACATTTTGCTTTTATAATAATTAGCTGTCCATATTTGAACTCCAGTTCTTCTACAGTTGTAGCCTTTTATAGTCCAGAAATTTCAGCTATAACGACAGTCCGCGTAAATCGACAGATCTCCCACCCTAAGTTCAAAACACATTGTTTATATACACATGACTTATAAACACATCTGAAAATTAAATTTAACATGCATACTGTTTAGATGGATGTATAGTATAATATGAACATACTATATATATTAATACTAGTTTAAAAATGCGTAAAACTTTTAGATTTTAATTTAGTTTAAAAGGCCTCACGCCGTATTATATAGGACTGTCTGTATAATAGCTTTATGACCGATCTAAGACTACTAACTAACGGTTGGAATTCGATAGCCGTAACCGTGAAAATAGGAACGTCGTTTTAATGGGTATCGGTGGATCAAAACTGTGACAATTCCAAAACTACCGCAAAAACCGATTGTATATGACCAGCTATTAAATTATTATTAAATCGAAATTTCTACTAGATTTTTATTAAAATTTATCGAAATCTCATTGATCGTTTAAATCATTGACTATTCGTACACGGACGACAGTTCTCGTTATAAAATATATTTAGTAACACGATCAAGTCAAATCCGTCCACTATTTTGAAAAATATTTATTCTGATATTTTATGACGAGGTCGCGAGTTCAATTGATCGCAATAAAAAAAAAATCGATAACTTTATACCTACTTTAATATATAGGTATTTTACGTTTCACAGAATGCAATCATACCTACTATTTTACAACAATGGTGGGAGGGGTCTTAAATACAATGTATGTAAATTTATCTAATAATGTAAGCGAAATGTGTCCAATCTGTTTCCCAGTAAAACTAAGGGAATATTACACGTGATTGTGTAGTATGTATAATTATTTATATTTAGTTGAGTGAGTGGTGCAAGTGTCCAATAATAATTCGATTATTAATAATACGGTTTCGGTCCTGAATAGTTTTTATTATTTTCAACGTGGCCAGTGAGGTGGAGTGCTGAAACACCTCAGCTCCCTACCCGTGGGTACACCAATTCCATTTTTAGTATTTAATTATCCGTCTCTATCAGTGTTTCCCAACATTTTTGACATACGAACCACTCAGAGAACTTTTGATATGCCACAGGCCATTTTGATAATTTTGTTTTTCATAAACAAAGAGCACTTTTTTCCCGAGATTTACAAGAGTTTTAGTTTTTTATTTTAATTTATAATAAAGTAATGCGATTTTTGAGCTTGGTTTTACATAAAAAGTTTTGATATTTTGGGATTGATAATGCTTTGCATATATAACAGACGATTTGTACCCCACATGTATAATTACCTCGGTGGGTATAAATCAACTGTAAGGAATATCGCAGACAGTAACAAGTGATTTGTGCCACCCCCCCATGTATTATTATCTCGGTGTATATGAATCGCCAAAAGTACGTAATAATATAATATATGACCGGAAGTAAAATTAAATGGAACATGCGACATGAGTATAATAGAACCTACAAAATAAAATTATAACCTATACTTTTACTGACACCTATACAAATTGGAAATCTGAAATGTGTTGTATAATTTTAGAAGTTTATTTTTTGACGATTGAATGAACGCGATCGCCTGTGAACGCGACGCGGTCTTTTCTGTATAAATATCCTTTTTATACATATGTATAAACTCTTATTTATAACAAATTTATTGATAATGGTTCAATTTATTGCTTTACTTAAAATAACAATATCAAGTAATTTAACATCATTCTTGTGACAATATTTATCTACAACGATCATTGTTAATGTGCGGTGTCAAGAATTTACGTGTACTTATCTATAGGGATACAAATCATTACCTAATTTTGGCGATTTGTACTGACCGAGGTAATAATATGGTGGGTATTAAAA